TTTTAGTGTAAAAATCGCTTATTGATAGTTCTGAACCCAGTTATATATATAGGTCCTTTGCATGATTATGTACTTGTTGTTTCTTTGTCACTTCTGAAATCCATGAAAACCTTTGATTCCCATGGGTGTTGATAAGATGCATGATCCTATTCTTAACCACCTGGTGAAATGCAAATAGTATATGTATACCTCATTGTCAAATTTTAGCTTTGACCTTTCAGATCTATCGCATATAAACTCCTTGACCTAAACTTCTACAGCCCCCCACTGGAAAAGAGGAAAAAAGAACAGTAAAAGTAAAAGTAAAATAGGTAGAGAGCTAATATTTGAAAGAGCTAACCAGGATTCTTATACAGTTTAAAAGAGAAAAAGGAAGATCCTTTACAAGAAACTGAATTGAATCTATAGACACTTATCATACATGACATCGATAGGTATGATATCCTAACAGAGCGAAAAAGGGGTGAAAAGTGACTCAAATTTTATACTTCATTATTTTACGGTGTTATGATAGGTATGTTATTTTATATTTTCTTACTCTTTTTTTTTAAAAAAAAAAAAGAAGTATGAAGGATGAGACTGGGAGCTCCGATCTTCGCACTACCACAATCTGATTGTCAGAAAGTTGTTGGTATTAGTGTTGTATATACTATCCTACTCAATTACAAGAAACTTGAATCTTTTAACTGTTACATTTTATGCTTTATCAAACTGAAAATGGTGCTAGCTATTGTTGTTGAGAGGAATGCAGGGCAGTAAAACTACCTCAAATAGAAAAAAGAAGAATCTAATTCCAGGGAGCGAACACCAGAGAGTAAAAGATACTCATGAGTTACTAGCAGTGTTTTCAAAAGTGAAAAAAGAGCAACAAGGTTGAAAAACGATAAATAATTGAAGCGCACAATTTACAGATATCATATGTAAATGAATTTTGTGCTAAAATAATCAATCAATTAAAATAACTAATTTCAGCATCCAATATACAAATAATGTTGATATTAATTCAACTCTTCAAAATTGAGATTCAAAGAATCAACTATTTCTCAGGACCACCTTGCGCATCTTTGTTTGAAATGCATACTTATTTGAATTGCATGGCTTCACCCATAAGGTCATGACCTCTCACATCATCCATTCGAGCAATGAAGCAATGGCTTTTAGTAACACTGGTTAACAGTTAGGAACAACTCACAATGGGGAGAGTGAAGAGAAAATGAGCTCCTTTCAGAATATGGACAGAAAATCAAGAGAGATATAGGTCTGGGTTCTGGGTGCATATATTTTGATTTTACTTGCTTCATGTGTAGCATGCTCACCGATGAACAGTATCCAGAACTACTGATTTTTTATGAATTGATGTAGTGGTGTTTCTTGCTCTAATTCTTTGAAGAGGGACAAATTTCTTGTTTGATGATAAGAATATTTATTCACAAATATAGCAAGGAGGGGCGGTAATGCTTTACAAGATTGTAAGGGACTTAAAAACGGCTATAAACCCACTAAAATCATTTACTCCAATTATGGTATAATCCTTTCATAACATCTTCCATTTTCTCCAAGTAATCATCCTATACAAAGAGGAATGACAACCAAAATTATATTAGGGGCCTTTGTCTTCCATCTGAGTTTTAGCGGCCTTTGTCTCCATCTAAGTTTCCTTGAAAATGATGCAATAGAACCAACATACTGTTGTTTTCCTGTAAGGGGAAATAGAAAGCTTTAACTGAAAATTTGCCTGATTTCTCTGGCTTCCACCTTACTTCATCTGGATGTACATTCATCTCCCATCTAATTCCTGTGTGATTGACATGAAAAATATGGTGCAGTAATCATATTATATTCTCATGATAATAGTTGCTCTTGTATTTATCAGATTGGAAACTGTGTTGGTGCAGCAAACCATCGGCATTTTGTCCTTTTCCTCATTTCAGCAATCATTGGCATGATTTACGCGTCCATCATGTCTGTTTATGCAGTTTATCATATCTGGCCACCATTAAACAACTGGCAAATTCACCTTCTGAGTGGGGCTTTTGGTCAAAAGTTGGTTATGAGAATGTTAAAAGATATTTTTGTTGCATTTATGAGTTCTATGTTGTTTTTACCCGCGAGAGGACTTGTTCTTATCTACCTGTTTATTGCTAGTGTCTCTATCGAGATAGGTTTAAGTGTGCTTTTATGGCAGCAACTCTGTTTCATATATGAAGGCAAGACATACTTGAGTCATATAAGTGCATCAGGGGGTGAAGGTACTGCAGTAAAGGATTGCCAAAATTTCATCCGATTCTTTGGCTTCCCTTATACTAGAACAAGATATTTGCCAAGCTTCTTCAGTTCTAAGAAGAGACACAAAAAATGAAGCTTGCAAAAGGTATTTCTCCTCCTTTGCTCTCTTTATTCATTTTCTTAGAGCCATCAGTGTGTTGTAAGTTTTGAATTCTCCCAAATACTGCTTTAGTTGATGGATTCTAGTTGGAAATCCCATTGTAAAGCTGATTTTTCTCTTAGATCATGTGCTTATACTAAGTACACTATTGCCTCATAGGCCAGGTGGTACTTCAAGTTCCTGCGTGGCTGCGTTGGCACTGCCCTCAGAATGAAACACTTCCACTTGGGCCTTTTTTTGGCAGCCTCCAACTGTCCAACATAAGAATTAGACGACAGTTGTGTTTCATTTTTCACTGAGATGTCTGTCAGTTATTTGGGTGTTAGGAAGGATCTAGTTTTGTTTTGGAACCTCTGGCCTCTCACCCTATCGATCTGTCAATTTATTCTATTAAACTCTTTTTTCCTGAAAAGAGAAAAAATTGTACTATGTATTTGGTAATAGAAGTGATTGTTTGTGAGATTTTACCAAGGCAGAGGAAGAAAAACAGCCTCTTACATAAATGCAAGGTAAGGCTGTGTACATAAGGCCCAATGTGGTCTGGCCCTTCTGTGGGAGGAGCTTAGTGTGCTGGGCTGCCCACTGAGGGAGAAATGAGTCCTGATCCATGACTTGGGGGCATGATTAGTAGTTTCTGTATGTTTTGGCGTAGGATTTTGATTGTGGTATCTGATGACGCTATGCAGATTTATATCAGGTATATGCTGTTTTTTCTTGCGGAAAGGTGGACATATATGATGTATACAGATAGATTCCTTCAGACATTACAAATTTCTGTAGAAAGACTGGAAGAATTTGTTTCCCATTTCTGGCATGATGTATCAGTAGACTGAAAATACAAGTGAAATAGGTTAGACAGTTGACGCCTACCTAATACCCCCTCCCCCCTGCTTGATCAACTCTATTTATAGTTCAATGGAGGAGAAGACCCTTATAATCTGGTGAAGCTATAGAAGAGAGGAAGTGAAAAGGATTGAATTGGGTTAGGCATGTTCAAACTTTTTTTTCTGTTGTAATCTTGTAGCATATGATCTTGTTTTTATCTTGACCTTGAATATGTTTTTTTTTCTTGTTTTGTTAAAATGTAATTCAGAGGATAAATCCTCTCCTAGTTTTTTCCTTTGGATTAATTTAATTTTGTGACAATTGAACTTTTTCACTCTCTACTGTATTTCGATTATCACACTTTCTCTTTTTTCTTGAATGTTTTGTTATCCTTTTTATAGTATTTTTCCATGACCCCTTCACATTCTTATGAGTCATGTATAGTCTGATACTGGAACGTCACTTACAAGCACTATAACAAAAGGGACATTTAGTGGTAATTGAGTTAATGTCTTTGCATCTAGTATTGATAAATTGAGTTAATGACATTTATATAGAGTATTGGTTATAAATAATTATATTTATTAATTATTGCTGCTAAATACAATATAGCGGCAAATTATACTATTGCCGCTAAATTCTATATTGGCATATACATAAATGTGCCCCTTAATTTGTAAATATTTTACATTTATGTCCTTTAACTTTGGGTGTGCACAAATTTCCACGTTAGATGCCACGTAGGAGGTGTATTTAGTTGTTCAATTTTATACAAGCTTAAATGTCTACTTGTGTACAGTCAAAGTTGGAAGATATAAATGTAAGCGGAGACCAAGTTAAAGGGCATATTTATAGATTATGCCTTCTTTATTTGTTGTAGTGAAGTTGTTCATGAGGACATATGGTTGGTGTCTTGTTGTCGTCCATTGTTTATTTAGTTATGGTATAATACATAAATATGTTTTTTAATTTGACTACAGTTGATAACTATGCCCTCCAACTTTGAGTGTGCACAAGTAGACACTTAAACTTGTATATAATTGAACAAATAGACGCATTCGTCCTACATGACAATTTTGTGTCCTATGTGGTGTCCTACATGTATTATGTCACGTAGGATGTATATGTCTACTTGTTCAATTTTATACAAGTTTAAGTGTCTATTTGTACACACCCAAAGTTGGAGGGCGTAGATGACAACTGAAGCCAAGTTAAGGGTCCATTTACGTATTATGTCTTAAGTTATTGTGAAGATCATTATGTTGAATTGTAGGAAAGAAGATCTATTACATGTTGTGTGAGTTGTTTAAACTCTATGAATTCATAAACTAGTTGTGAACAAGCATTTTGATGTTGAAAATACTTACCTTTATTGATTGGGTATAATATCAACAACAACAACATCATATTCAATGAAATCCACAAAGTAGGATTTGGGGAGGATAAAGTGTATGCAGACCTAACCACTATCTCGTAGAGGTAGAGAGACTATTTTAGAAAGATCCTCAATATTGAATGTGATTTTTATTATTAAGAGAGATCATGTTGTTCTTGTTGACGAATTTTGAAAACAACTTTTATAAAGGATAATATATAAAGAAGAACTGAACAAGTAATTGACAAAATTTATAAATGCAACTTAAATTTAAAGTTTTACATGAAATGATAAAATTCAACATTCAAAGAAATGTTAAAGACAATCTGAGCTTAGAGATAGAATTCAAGGAAATGATTAAAACGCAATCTTAAAGATAGAATTCAAATAAATTATTGAAATGAAATCTTGAAGCTAAGGGGAAGAAGTCGCATCATCCTTTTCTCCATTGTTGTTTCTGTCTTTTCTCTCACAATCAACACTCATCTTGTTTGTTTTGATACTTGAATCTTTGTTTGTCAAATAATTCATATTTGAGTTTTCTTTAGTTGGACAATTCCAACTATATTCATCTTCAATTGGTGAGACCCTTGAAGTATACTGTGGAATGCAAGAAAATTTAATGAGATGATCAAAAATAAATTTAACTATTTCTTTTATTTTGTCAAATATACAATTACCAAAATTAAAGAAAAAAAAACTATTGTTGAACAATATTAGAAACTTGTAAAAATACTTAATGTTATAGTGGAAGATAGGGAAGCTTTTTATGAATTACCTTATAGAGATTATCGATGGAACGAAATTTAGTACTTCTGGGTATTCCTCGAGTGATATGATAGTTTCCATCCTTTTCATCTCTTGTCAAAAGTTTTGAGCCACAATTGACAGTATTGTCGTTTAAACTACGACCATAATTATCTGTGCGACCATCTTCACATGTAACTTTATTGAGCTCTGACTCACCTGAAAATTATATGTGAGATTGCATGATATATGTGAAACAAACTATAAGTTTGGATGGGAGCTTCAATCTAATGATTGTATATTAGACTACCACTATGTTGTGTACCATTTAGGTCAAGAGTTTCAATTATCTTGAGCTTATTGATTTAAAATTTAGGATTCATCTCTACTTTTGATAAATTCAGATAATTAAAAACATAAGTTTAATTTGTAAGATGTAAAATTTCATAAGTACCATCAATATCTTCTTGTTGTTGGTTAGGAAATTCCTCCTCAAAAGAATTCTTTTGATCCTGTCTTACGTTGTTTTGGCTGCCTTGTTTGAATTTCTCACTTTCTAACTCCTGTAAATTCACATTGTTTTTTCATAAATGATTGAACGTAGAAAAGTATATTTTGAAATACAATGAGCATGTTCGATATCAATTGACATAAATGTTGAACAATTACCTCGCAAGCATGAAGGAGGGGATACAAACACGTATTGTCAATGTTATTGTCCTTTAAGGTAAGATTAGGATTATTCAGTGGTCTATCATCAGTACGACTCTCAAATTCACCTGAAAAATCATGAATAATTAATAGTACGAGTCAATTATAAAATATAGAATTAATTATAAATTATATACCCTGAATAATTTGTTGTTCATGGTTGTCTGCATTCTTTCCCTCTTTCATGGGAAGTTGAGAATTGCTCCCTTTGCTCCCTTGAAAAAATATTAGTCAAGTATTTACTATACTAAAAACAAACTCTTAGCAATACTTTAAAATTCAATATTTGACTACTAATACTTCAATTAATTTGGAAAAAGTTATTTAATAATAAGATTAAAATTGAAAATACCTATTAATTTTCTCTTTATTTCTTAAAGTAGACAAGGAAAATAAAATTAATATAAGTCAAAATTACATACCATGAATAGTTTTTTGCACTCGTTTGTCATGTAATATATTCTTGGAAGAGCCTTCTTGATCCTTTTCAGAAAATTTCTTATTCGTCTTGACATCCTCTTTGTTTTTCTTTTGTGTTTCGAGCATATTAAACGTATACTGTGTAATTAAATACAAAAGATAAAATCAACTAATTATTTATATTCATAATTCATGCTCACACAAAGTAAGATCTTCCCTCCATTTTAATGAGTCCAAAGTTGGTAAACAAATGAAATTCTAGAAATCACAAAAGATAATTAATTAGAATAATATACGCATATGCCATTAAAGATACATAGAATATATCTCAGTCATCCCTGTACATATACATTGTATTTCATAAATAAAAAATGATGTTTAAAAACCAGAGATAGATATTAAATATAGATCTGAGAGCAAAGACAGAGCTTACAGATTTGGGAGAAAAATAGAATGATGATTACAAGGAATGAAGGAAGCATCATCCTCTAGCGACACTCATTCTCAGATCGGGATGTAAGTCTCGTTCTCAGACTGAGAACTTGAGTGAATGCTACTAGAAAAGTCGATAGATGTCTCATTGTATTTAAATCAGACTATTCATGCATATAATTTGTATAATTTCAACATAAGTAGAGTTTTGAAAAAGATAAAATGTACAAAAATTATGATTTGAAATTGGTAAGATGTACATAGACAGTAACGCTACTTTTTGGGGGTAGAGATATTTTTCTAACATACCTTCGACAAAAAGAAAATTGAAATAGGGTTGCAAGAAGAAAAAATCAAACATTTATCAATCTTTTTACTCGTCTTCTATAATTTACTAGAATTGTCTATGAATTCAATTAGGACACTTGCTAAAAAGAACAACAAATATGTAGATGTATACAAAAGAAAAAAAAATGAAGAAATGAAACAAGATTTGGATTGAAACAAACTTACCATCACCCAATCGCCATCCTTCATTGTAAGAGAATAAAAAATAAAAATGAATGAATATAACGAAGAAGTAAATCAATACCGTCTCAATCGCGTTTATATGTTCCTCTTGATTGTTAATCTATTTCCTTAAAAAATTTAAGTAAGTGAAGAGACAAAATAATATCGGCTATCATATATATATTGGTTCAAGTATCTCCTCTTGACCGCTTATATATTTTTTCTAAAAGTTTGAAATTAAAATGATAAAGTGAATTTCTTAGTATCTCCGGTTTAATATATACATCTCGTTTGCTGAGCCGTTCTTGAAAATTATGTTTATTCATTTTTTTAAAATATGTTATTTGTCAAATAAAGACTACCCAAATTTTTAAAATACTACTGTATAATTAGACTATAATTTTGAATCAATTATTGTAAAGAATTTTATTGTTATGCTAACAGTGATATTTTAACATTAATTGAGAGATTATTTAAAATATAATCATTTATTATATTGTGTTGTGTGTTTTAATTATAAGAATAATACATGATAATTCTATTTTAATAATATTAGTAAGGTGATCAATTCTACATATAAATTGTATTTGATATATGTTTTTAGCTAATTCTTCACCATTACGCTAATACTAGACTTACTCCCATTTTTCAAATTATTTACTCGCCTTTTAATTTGGTGATTAAAATTTGCATATAGTTAATGTATTTTTATAGGTTTTTTTTTTATGATTTAGTAATATTAATTCTTATGCTAGTTCAATAATTTTTATAAGACATAATACATAAATATGCTCTTTAATTTGGCTTTAGCTGACATCTATGCCCTCCAACTTTGAGTGTACATAAATAGACACTTAAACTTGTAAAAAATTGAATAAATAGACACCTTCGTCCTACGTGACATCCGACATGACAAGTTTGCATCCTATGTGGCGTCCTACGTGTATTATGCTACGTAGGACGTGTGTATCTACTTGTCTAATTTTATACAAGTTTAAGTGTTTACTTATGCACATCCAAAGTTAGAGGCCGCATAACTGTCTACTAAAGCCAAGTTAAATGACATAATTATGTATTATACCTTTTTATAATCACTTTACTATGACAAAATGAATTTAAATAGTTTTCAAGAAGTTAATTGGATCTATATTTGAAAAATCAAATTTACTATCCAATTCAGTAAGTGCTTATCATTGTTAGACTTTGACCAAATAAATTTATATATTTCTCATAAAGTTAGTCAAATATAATAGTCAATTTAATCCAATAAATTCACTACAAAATTGATAAAGAACATTAAATTATGATTGAAGTAGTAATATTTTTCTTAAAAAAGATATTAATACTTAGTTTGACCAAAAATTAAAGTATTTTGAATTTCTATTTTGGAGGTGGAAGACCCCATATCTCCTCTCTTTAAACTCGTTTAGATTATAAAATTAACAAATATATGACACACATAAAACAATGAGGAAATTTCATACATAGCAAAGATATTAAATTTAATAAGTTTCCTTAGCTACAATTTGTCTAATTACGTTTCATAGCTATACTTTCGTTTACTATGAATATTTTCTTTGTATAATTCACTTGCCAATATACAAACAAGCTAAGTATATATAAATTATGTATTTATACATTTAGAAAATATCAGAACTTGTACAAATCAAATGTATCAACATGATACTACGAGGATAAGCAACTATATACTAGTTAATTAGCTAACATAACTATAATTTTTATTAATTACCACTTACAACTTAATTTTAGCTATAATTATTTGCGCATCTCTCCTCTCTTCCTCTATCTAACCTCTGTCCTCTCTTATACATCTAAAAGTACAAATCATACAAATACAAATTATACATATACATATACATATACAATTATATGACAGATATACAAATACAATTCGCCTCTCTCCACTCTCTACCCTCTCTCGCTTGCCTCTCTCCTCCCTCTCCCAATCTCGCTCGCCTCTCTCCTCCCTCTCTCAATCCTGCTTGCCAGATTTACAAATGCATATGTATACCAATTACATATATACAATTATCTAACAGATATACATATACAATTCAACATATATACATATACAATTCACCTCTCTCCACTCTTTCCCTCTCTCGCTCGCCTCTCTCCTCCCTCTAACATGTAGATACGGATAGTAATTAGCAAACTATAGCTATAGAACCTAATTAAGTTTATTTTAGTGGCTATTTGCGAAATTTCCTCATAATTATATTCAAGCTAAGTAAGCATATACAAATTCTGGATTTATACAATTAGAAATTGAATTATACAAATTCTGGATTTGTACAATTAGGAGCCGAATTATACAAATTCTGGACGTGGCTCACATAAATATGGTTATATGTTAGTGGCGAAAAGTAATTTCTTCAAACTATAACTATGCTAAACAATTAGCTAGTATATATTTGTTTAGTCTCTTAAAATTTGTCCTTGTCTTAATTGGTTTATGAGCTTGCGTCAATAAGGAACAAATATATTCCTTAATTTTGTGATATTGAGCAAATATATCCCTTGTAATAATGTGTGCATGTATATTTACCCCTATGTTTAACAAATGGTGCATATATACCCTCATGACCAACTATGTAGAATATACGTATATGAACAATCACAATTTACAATTACCCTTAATAAATGTATTTTAAATTAGATAAAATTGTAATTATGAGTTATAATTTTTTACGAGACTTCATTTTTGATTGTTTTGGTAAAATATAAAAGTCGAATAATGTTTTAAATAAATATATTTTTTTGATTTTGGTTGTCACTTGTCAGTTAAATAGTCATTTAATTCTTTGTTTTATTAAATGAGAAGGTAATGTAGAAAGGATGCATAACACATTTGGCTATCAGTAGATCGTTTGTAGTTTTCTAATTCCGATTATGCTGATTTTCACTCTCTTGGTATACTGGAGGTAATTTGTTGAACTTGATGGTCTTAGGTTAACCTTTACATGGTTTAATAATCTTGTGTGTTTTAAATCTCTACAGCTACTGCCTTGACAAAGTCACCTTCACTGAATTTCTAACTTTCGTATTATTCACTATGTTTCGGATCTTAGTATTGCTGGCTCTCGAGGATTTCTCGATTTTCAACAAATATAAACAGTTTTTTTTTCATCAATGATGTTATGTGAAATGTTACCATATGTAATATGTCATCTATTTAGCTATACAAGGTAGTTTTGGTAGTACATTCACATTTCACAGTATGGTATTCTTATTATTGTTAATGACTCATCACAATTAAATGTTATTTAATTAAGAAGTGTGTATTGGCTACTTAATTTGAAATGTGCTTTTTGTCAATACTAGAGCAACCATTTCTGTTTGATCAAGATTTCAAAAAGTGTTTCTACGTGTTTCAAATAGTAGCAATAATAAATAGTCATAACAAACGACCGCATAAAGTTCAAATCCAAGCGAAAACCTTCCCTAAATTTTGCTGAGTAAATCAAAGTCACAAGACGACGACAACAACAACAACAACAATTTAATAATTAATTAGCGTTACCCCTTACTTCAACCTCGACTGTAACACTACCCCTTTACTTAAGTAATATCCTAAGCTTCTCTCTTAGCCCTTTTCTCAGCCTAATCTAATTTCACTATTCTATTAGTCAAGATTTTTGAATGAAAATCTAACAGACGTAGGAAATATATCGAAAAGGATGTCTTGAATTTTTTTTAAAAAAACTTATGTGGCTCCACCCCGTTTACTAAATTGTTTTTATTTACATCATGATATGTCTCTAACATTTTCCTCACTCATCTTGTTTGTTTTAGCATATTTTTCTTCTTCTTTTTGTTTGTTATAAATTTGTTGTGTTTCTTTTTACATGTAAGAATTTCAATAAAATTTTGAAAAGTGAGATCATACTTTAGTTTGACTCAATGAAGAAGGCAATATGGGCAATAAGTCCATAAGAACTTGAAATTTTTTGTATTGATTCTATATTCCCTTTTTTTTAATCAATATTGTTATGATTACAGTCCTAAGAAGAATGTGTACGTTGTATTTTTCTTCATTTTTTTTTTCATTAGACTTCTTTAATTTTTATTTTTATTTGGGCTCAAATTAGTCATTTGTGACTTTATTGAAAGTTTGTTGACTACTAACCAAAATTTATAGTTTGTTCTGTAAAAGAAATTAATTTTAAATATTAAAATACACTTCTTATTTGGTATTTTTTTGTCATAATTAAAAAATATTATTTATAACTATTGTATTTTATTACTCATTACATATATGTTTTTATAGAATATTTTATTGTTCTAACAAATTTATAAAAAAAATCACATGGAATATACGTGCAAAACACGTGTCCAAAAACTAGTTTTATTAATAAGTATTATCTACATTGTACATATCCCATCTTTGCTCTCCCAGGACCTCACCTACGAAATTGCATTAATCTATAATGTTTGACTAACACAACATGTATACAAACTATAAAGTTTTCCTTATTTTTAATCGCCTAGCTTCAACGTCAAGCTAATTTTCTTCAACAAAAAGGGATTGGCTAGGATTTCTTAAATTCTCAAGAAGAAAAACATTTCTATCGCTTCATACCTGCTTACCAGATTGTCACCTAGTTTTGAATTGTCATCAATCTCCAATTATCTTTGTTTTCATCATGATATGTCTCTTAGAAATTCTTCACTTACCTTGTTTGATTTAGTATAATTTTTTACAATCTCTATTGTTAGAGTTCCAATAAAATTTTGAAAAAGTAGATCTTCTTTTATTCAACTTTTTTATATATATTTTATTCTCAGGAATTATTAAAATAGGTGATAGTCAATTATAATTTCATAATTAATTTTTTCAATTAGCAATATAATATTTTTTTTATATATTTGTAAGACACGAATAGACATATATAAATTATGGTGCGTTCCTTGACACAAACACTTATATCATAAGTAATTTCATATGGATTATAGTTTTGATTATTTTTTTTCAATTGAGTCAATTGTTGCAGAAGCTATCAAAATTATTCTAATAGTAGAAGTATTTAAAAATGGAATTAAGACTTCATCTGATTGAGTATACTAATTAGAATTAAAAAATTTCTTATATAATATTTTGTATTACTTTTAATAACAAAAATAGGTCTAAATCATTAATATTGTAGTGATTGTAACACTTTAGAAAACATTCAAAGTTAAAATAATGTCTTTTTAAAGCTAATTATTTGATAATCTAATTAGTTTGAGATTGAAATGTCTAAGAACACATCTCAAAGTATTAAAGACTTACAAAGTCAATATTAAAACATGATTGATTCAAATTTAAGTGAATTAGAATTAAGAAGTCAAACGTAATTGCAAATTTAATTTCCTATATTTTTTTAATTATAATCACATCAATCATATTTTCAGAAAATTATAAAACTTTAAGAATATGTGGTAGCTATCTCCACCAACAGTTCCATAGAGAGAGCATAAAGGCATAATACATAAATATGCCCTTTAACTTGGTCTTATTTTACATTTATACCTTACAACTTTGGGTGTACACAAATAGACACTTAAACTTGTATAGAGTTGAACAAATAGACACATAAGTCCTATGTGGCATAATACACATAGGACGCAAATTGTCATGTAGGATGCCACATAGGACGTGTGTGTCTATTTTGTTCAATTTTATACAAGTTTAAGAGTCTATTTGTGCACATTCAAAGTTGGAGGACATAAATATAAAATGAGGCAAAGTTAAAGGGCATATTTATGTATTATGTCGAGCAAAAATGTGTATCCTATTCTGTTTGATTAGAGCATCATTTTCACTTGTATAATATTTTATATTACTTTTAATTACAAAAATATGTCTTAATTAGTATATGAACTTGCATCAATAAAGATCAAATATATTCTTTAATTTTGAGATATTGGTAAAATATAAAAGTCGAATAATAATTTAAATAAGTATAGCTTTTTGATTTCGATTGTTAATTAAAAAGTCATTTAATTCTTTATTTTATTCAGGGGTGGCTCAATGCCTTTAAAAATGAGGCATATGCCTTAGGCCCCAAAATCGAAGGGCCTAAATTTTTAGTAATAATAAAATTATCTTAAGCTTTTTTTAACAAAAAAATAAATAAACAATGTTTTAATTTGTTTCGAAACATTAATGAATGTTTCTTTTTTATGGATCAATTTTTAAATTTAACTTCCACATGATATGTTTAAGACCACAAAATTTAAAAATATTTGGTATATATATATCTTTAGTTTAAGATCATAAAAAACACAAAACTTTTTTTATTAAAAAGAAAGAAATAACTTGAATCTCATATATAAAAAAATAATTAAAATTTAGGCCTCCAACTTATTTTTGGCTTTAGGCCACTAATTAGCTTGAGCCGCCATAGATTTTATTAAATAAAATTACTTTTTTTTTCAAAAAAATAGATAAATTGCTTCAAGATATCAGCCATAATGGTGGATAGCCAAGGGGGCGTTTTCTTTTAAGTGAAAATAAATGAATAAATTAGATAAACTTGCAATTATGAGTTATTAATTTCTTACAAGACTTCGTATTGATTGTTTTGGTAAAATATAAAAATAGAATAAAGTTTTTAATAAATATAGCCTTTTGATTTCAATGGTCAATTAAAGAGTCAATTAAATCTTTATTTTATTAAATTATCTTTTTTCCAAAAAAAAATAAATTAGATTGTTTCAAGATATCAGCCTTAATGTGAATAGCCAAATGAAATGGATATTTACTTTCAAGTGAAAAACACTTATGGCTACTAGCTAAAAAAATAAGGTTGATCATCATATATATACAAACCATAAAGTTTCCCTTATTTTCATCGCCTAGCTTCAACATCAAGCTAGGATTTCTTGAATTCTCAAAAAAAAAAAAAAAAAAAAAAAAGATCACTCCATACCAGCTTACCATATTCTAATCTAGTACTAAAATTTCCATCAGTGTTTGATTGGTTTTGATTCCGCACCATGTTATGTCTCTTCGGATTTCCTCACTTGTGTGGTTTGATTTAGTATAATTTTTTACACTCTTTGATTGTTATAAATTTGTTGTGTTTTCTTTCACGGGTAAGAGTTCCAATAAAACTTTGAAAAGGAATTTTTTTTTTGATGTTTTTTCTTATATATTTTATTTACATAAATTATTAAAATACATGATAGTTAATTATAATTTGATAATTATTTTTTTTCAATTAGCAATATAATATTTTTTTTGTAATAATTCGTATAGATTATAGTTTGAAAAACTTTTTCAATTGAGTCAATTGTTGCACAAGTAGTCAGAATTATTCTAGTAGTAGAAATATTTAAAAATAGAATTGAAACTTCATTTAATTGAGTATACCAATTAGAGTATCATTTTTACTTGTATATATAAGATCAATTTTTCAATTTATATGTATATACCAAGTGATGAACCCCCTAAACATAAGCCAAGGGCTTGGTTCAGTGGTAAAGAGGGTTCAAGAATTCGCAAGATAAGTGTTGGGTCGTGGGTTCTCGACTCCAAGTAACAACATTTTTTCCCCGTAGTTTCAATTGATTTTCATTTTTATTTTCTAAATAAATGAAAAATCTATTTTATTTGAAAATCTATTGAGATTCATAATATTTTATTAGATAATAAATTTCTTTTCTATTTTTATTAAATTAAGTTAAACTTGTAACGTTTTTTAAGTTTTCATAATTAAAATTAAAATTACATTCTCTCATATCCATTTTAAGTCAAACATTTAATTTATATTTGAGCAAGGAATAATAAAATTACAAGTAAGATTAAATAAATAAGAGTAATCATTTAAAATTTATAGATAAATACGATTATCGCGATATTTATCAATCTTAATAATTATTTTCTCGACACGAATTTTATTGCTACAATATGATCGGATTCAGAAGTATTCCTTAGTTAGTTTCAAAAATTGAATAACGTTTATATACAACAATGACAAAGACAAGACCTATAATTATAGTTTTAAAAAATACATTCTCTCAAACTTATTTTAATGTTATGTCAAACATATACTTACTCGATTTTATTGTTTGTGTTGAGGTAGAGTTGAATTTTTTTTAGTTGCTTATATTTGATCCGACCTATTTATATTTGACCCGGTCCGCTCGCCCCCGCATATATGGATACTATTAGTGTGCTTACTTATCTTTTTGAACTCCCTCGATGGAAATTCTACCTCCGCCACTGAGCTCGAGTATTGAGACCTTTAGAATGTATTTTTACCATTCACTTTATTATTATCTCTCTCTATATATATTATTAGGTCAACATCCTCTTATATTTTTATACTCCCTGGAATACCCTTAAGAATGCATTGCATCGATAAAGGGGTATTTTTTCGAAAAATTGATATAGATAGTTGCTAACCAAAATAAATACAAATATTCTATCAGTCTAAAAATAAGTGTTATTCTAGGAAAAAATATGTTTATTAATAAATACATGTATAATATACTAAATTAGTTTATTTAATAATATTTTAAATTTTTAAGATGATACTTATTTTGGACAAAATAACTTCTTCTTTGTTGGTGAAATAACACTTATTTTGAGATGGAATAGTAACTGATATTTTATTTGTATATTTAATTAGGTAATTATTTTGAGGGATCAAATTAGGGTTGAATATAAAATATCGAAAATTGAATTATCGAATCGAATTGAAATTTTTGATAATTTAGTATGGTATTCGGAGTAAAATTTTAGAATTATGATATTCGTGAGTAAAATTTTAGAATTATGATATCCGGGTTTGAATTTGGTATGAGACATTAGTACCAAATGGTATTTGACATTTCCCGAATGCCAAATTATTTACTTAATGAAAGTCATATATCAACATATTCATTACTAATTAGTTTAAGTCCAAAGAGAAAGTTAAAGAATAAGCATAAACAATCCAAACACATGTCTTTTAGTTCTATCAATTTGTTTTTTTTAATGTTTTTTTACTTGTTGATTTTCTATTATATTGTGTTTCTGCATTAAAAAAAATAGAAATGATAGGAGAAGTAGTATTAACTTTGTAATACAATCGGCTATGACTTCAATACGGTATTAGCGAATACCGTATCAAATCAAAGTGCAATTTACCGTTTACTCAATTACCGAACCGAAATCTAAAAATTTGTTATTTGATACTCTCTCTTTTCCATTATATGTAAGGCCGTTTGATTCGACACAAAATCTAAGAAAGAAAAACTTTTAAAACCTGTGATCTAAAATGAAGCATAGAAATTTAGGAAACCCAAACATAATAACAAACATATTTATGTGAGAGGAGTATCTATTTCTAACTACCAATTACCAAACTCGAAATTTGAGAAACCCCATCGCCCACTCCTAGATCAAATATACATTAAAAACCCTATGAAACTATTGTCCTAATTCACCCTTTTGTCACCCTGCTTCCAATGCCACTTTTAGGGGTTTAGCAGAAGAACGATGAAATTGATTTTTCATTCCAAAAAATTGTTACCATATTCTAATATACATTAATATATACAGCTGCGAGGTGCATAATGTTCTGATTTTTTTTCAATTCTCATGCAGTTGTTTCTGGGTCCTCACATTTTTTGTTTCCGCCATGGTATGTTCATATGTGTTTTCTCATTCCTCCTGTTCGCCTTAGTATTAATTCTCATTGATTTTTTATTTATTTATCACAAGTTATAATTTTCTCTGTTGACTGTCATTGTGTTTTTTCAATGTAGTACTCCCTCCGTCCCATTTTACATGGCAACATTTGATTGAGCATGGAGTTTAAGAAATAAATGAAGACTTTGAAATGTTTACCAAATTGTCCTTTAAAAAATAGACTCTTTTTTCTCTATTCTCATAAATGTATTGGAGTATTATTTTAAGATTAAGTGGGATCAACAAGGATAAAAGAGGAATTGTACCTTTATAAACTTACTATATAAGGAAATGTGACATTCTTTTTGGGACTGACCAAAAAGGAAATGGTGCCACATAAAATGAAACGGAGAGAGTAGTATTTCTTATTTTAGAAATGTGTTTTTCGAGTTAGCTTGTGTACACCTGGAAACAAAAGATACTGTTTGATGTTGTATGTATGGTGTAATTTTCTTTGATGAAGGGGATTTAGATTGCGGTGCCCGTACCTGCTATCTCTACCACCAACACAAGTGTTGAGTAACTATCTCCTTCAAGGCTTGGGCAAATGAGAAGAAATCACGTGGTGTTTTTGTATCCCTTTGGGGTTTGAACATTAGACTCATTGTTCTCAATCCCAATATGGTGGATATATCTTTTACTTGTTTTAGAACCATGGTGTTCGGAAATAACCTTTCTACCTTTAAAGGGTGGGGGCACCGCCCTTCCTATACTCCACTTGTGGGATTACTAAGATTTATTTCACAAGTTCTTGCTACCAATGGCGTAGCGAGGATTTTCAAGATTCAAAGTATAGTGAAGTAGTCATAGGAAGAAGTCCTACACCCAGTGGTTTGGGCTTGAGACTTCCACGTTGGAGGTTTCATGTTCGAAACCCCTTGCCAGCGAAAGCAAGGGGTTTGCCTTCTGGGTTGAGCTCGTCGCATCAGGCTTGCCTAGTGCAGGTTACCTTTCCTATGTGGTTTGCGAGCTATCGCATATGAGCGAGGGTTTTACCACATGCGCACCCAAAGGGTAACGACTGCAAGTTTCCCCTTGTCATTAAAAAAAAGTCCTATGGAAATTTAATATCTAGTATATACTCAAAAAGATATTTTAATCTTGTATATATAGTGTAATTTTCTTTCATTAAGGAGATTCGGATTACGGTACCTAGCTCTGCCCATGCTTGCTATCTCTACCAACACAAGTACCGAGTAACTATCTCCGCCAAGGCTTGGGCAGATGAGAAGAAATCATCTGTGTGTTTTTGTATCCGTTGGGTTTGAACGTTAGACCTCATAGTTCTTAATCCCTTTTATTGACCACTGGGCCACAATTTTGGGTGAAATATGGTGGGTATATTTATTGATCACCTCTTTTGGCGTTCATGGATGTATTTAGTTTTATACAACAAGGTCCACTATAGAGAGGATAAATTTGTATCTATTCAGTCTCCATTGACAGCACAGCTCTGAAAGAACTTTTTACTTGTGGATTTGTTGTTTCGCCATGTTCTCTTTGTTACGACGGAGCTATCAGATTTACTTTGCTTGTTATAGTTTGTGGATTGTGAAATTGTTTGGGCATAATAAGAAATTTCATGTGTAGATGTGGTATTATTGTGTATGTATTCTTTTACTTAAACAGCATTAACCTGTTTATAATTGCATAAAATCCAACATAACACAAACTTGGCATTATTTGTATATTGTTTTGCATATGGCTGCATTTTTAATTATTATTTTGCCATGTTGTGCAGGTGATAATATGTCTACAGTGTGGTGACAAAGGATTCTCTAACGCATTTGTTTTTTGTGTAAAATGTCTTGAAGTTGCTGTACATCGGTAAGTTAGATTGTTACCAAACATCATTTTTAAAGTTCAGTCATTTACCGTCTCTTATTAGCTTTTGTTTTTCATTTTTGCTCTTGATTTCTGCCCTCCTATTTTGCATGAACGTGCAAAGAATTGCCTTATTACTAGCAGGAACATATATATTAGTTGATGATGGAACTAAGATGAGTTCCTGTGTGATCATCAGAACATGTTCTTGGTATTTATCAACTGTAATCATGAAAGAAAGTATTTAAGACCGTTCTGTAAATCCTGTTTTGGTTTGGACTAGCGATATGCGTATAGTTCTACTCTTCCGACAAAGGTTAAGTCGAGATGAACATTTCAGTAGGCAGATGTTTTTTTGGAATCATATCGTCTATAGCAATGTTTTTGACAGCGAGAAGTGCAAAAGAAGGACAAGGAAAAGAAAAGCTTAAGCAATGTTTCAGCAGGCAGAAGTTTAATCCTGACTTCACTGATGAGATTGGTTTTTTCATCTTTTGCCACAAAAAGAAAAGCTAAATCTGATAAAACTGGCACCCAAGGGTGTGGCCTAGTGGTCAATGAAGTGGTTGAGAGTTATGAGGTCTTAAGTTCAAATCCCAGCGGAGACCAAAAATACTAGGTGATTCTTCCCATATGTCCTAGCTTTGGTGGACTGAGTTACTTGGTACATGTTGCTGGGAGGTGGCAAATATCCCATGGAATTAGTCGAGGTGCCCAAAAGCTAGCCTGGACACCACGGCCATAAAAAAAAAATCTGATATAACTGTTTGCACCAGAAACAAAAAAGGCTAATGCAATTCAATATGATCTTCTGTACTGCATTGCTGTTGTCTAAGGAAAAAACCTTCGGGAGAACCATTGATAAGGATTGAGAATTTTGAGTGTTGAAATACAATATCTTATCTAGTTAATCACTTAATCCATTTTCCTCCAAAACTCATGCATGAGAGCAACTTCAGCAAGGATTCCCAATTGACATGATTATAGGCCTTTCCAATGTCTAGCTTCTGGAATCACCTTCTCCATTGGCAATTAGGACATCCATTATTTTGGCATTCTTCAATGAAAGCCATATGTTGAGCATCCACCAGCTTACGAATGACCCTTTTCAACCTCTCTGTTAGAACCTTTGGTAGTAGCTTGTACATACTTCCTATAAGGCTTATAGGTTTAAGTTCTCTTAAATCCTTGGCTCCTGTCTTCTTAGGAATCAAAGCTATGTAAGTTGTGTTGAATTTTTTCTCAATAACTCCATGAGAATGAAAATTCTTGAAAGTTTTTATGTTGTCCTGCTTCAGTACTTCCCAACATTTGATGAAAAAACTCTTTGTGTAGCCATCTAGACATGTATACTCCTCTTGCTCATCAAAATCCCTGTGTAGAGCTTCTTTTTCAACTTCAGTGATGACTGGGCAAATGATAAAATTGCATGATGGTCTCCGGTCCCGAGTCTCAGAGTAAAGCTTCCTATAAAAATCAAATATTCCCCCCTTAATTCCAACTGGATCTTCCACTTGTTCATCTTGAATTACTAGTTGGTCTATATTACTATTTCTCTTATGATCATTTGCCACTTTACGAAAGAAGTTGGTATTCTTGTCCCCTCCTTGAGCCCATAAGGCTCTGGGTCTTTGTCTCTGTGAAACTTCTTCATTTTTGATGTATTCTCCATGTTCCATCAGAAGAGCCTTCAGTAGTGATTCCGCTTCTGTCGGAATTTTGTTCTCCTGTACAACATCCAGATTAGCCGGTTGACTCAGAACCTTCTATAAAATCAGAATATTCCTCCATAGCTGGAGTTCTTCTCTTGCAATTTCATTGTTCGGAAGGAAACTGTCACAATAAAATCTCCAGAAACAGCCCATGGCCCTTCCAACAGTCCCGTAACAACTCCTGTTTCCTCCCACTCATTTTCCCTTTCCAGATTACAATTTGGGGCATATACTCCCATTACGTGGCACTCAAAAGTCTTGAAGAAGTGCGACAAACTTGCAAGTAAGAGTATATAATCCAATTTCCAAAGTCTCCCCTCTCCATGCTATATCATCCCACAACATCAGAATTCTCCCTCTAGTGCCACTTGCTTCTAGGCAGGAAAATCTTACCCATCTCCCTCCCTGTAACTCTTTGACAATCTCTTTGGCATCCCCCTCCAACTTAGACTCCTGAAGACAATGATATCAGCCTTTCAGTTGTACATAAGGCTCTTCAGAATTCTTATTTTAACCCTATTGTTTAATCCCCTTACATTCCATGTCACCAATTTGAGTTTCACTGTAAAAGGTTGCCATCTTTTCCCCGAACTCTCCTCCCATCACTTTTGATCTTAACATCAAAAGAGGTGAGCCCCTTGAGTTCATGTGTCCCTTTGTATCTATGCCTCTTTAAAGATGCCTCGTCTCCGGGAGCCTTGCCTGTCTGCAGCTATCTATTTGCATCAGTAGTTCCCATGCTTCTTCCTCATGCTCCTGGAAGTCGACCCTGAGAATTTTACCAAGAAGTTGAGTTTCATGGTTGTCATTAAATACTGATAATGGTTTTAGGTTAACCTTTACATGTCTTTCTTTAGTTTGTTAATATTCCATGTTTTAATCTTTTCAGCTACTGCCTTGATAAAGTTCCCAGTACATTTGATGAATTTGTCTATTGGGTCTGTGATGATTGTGAGGTGAAGGTGCCAAATGAACTCACTATCATGAATTCTGTTGGCGTCTTACCTGAAAATTGCACTAGTTCAAGACATCTTAAAGCAAGTTCTGAAGCAAAACTTGATATTCCTCCATCGATTGCTGAGGTAGATTTAACGGTGGTTCAAAATAAGTCTCCCGAGGAAGATGTTGAGAAACATCCTAGAATTGATTTGGTAGAGCATAGTCACTTAGATAAGAAGTCTAATCCTACGTCTCTGATAGATAAGAAAAACTGTATTCATGCTGTCGTGGAACAAGCACAACCTGTTCTTGATCCTATTTGGAGGTGAGGATATATCTCACAGATTATTCACTTGGGTGATAATTCATCAATATTGACCTGTCGTATTGTGAATGAAAATGTCCGTTTTCTTGCACTTTTTTCTGGCAGGGGTAGTTTTAACATATGGAACAAAGAGTATAAGACATTTGATGGACTTGTTGCTCACCTATCAGTCAAAGCATGCCAAAAGGTTTTTGAAGAAGCGAAGTTATTTTCACTTTTGCTTCACTTGGAAATGCTTCCGAAATCTGATATATGGCCTAAGAGTTTCAATACATTAGAGCCTAGAGATGATAACATTGCATTGTATTTCTTTCCTTCGGATGCAAGGTAATTACTTTATATTTTCACCATTTTACACATAGTTTTCGTCATATTCACTTTGTTGACATTTTATTTTTCTCAGTACAGATACGAGCAGGATTTTGATCATTTGATTGAGGAAATGATTGGTGAAGAACTTGCTCTCCGAGCAGTTATGACAAATGCAGAGCTGTTGGTTTTCACATCCACAGAACTTCCCCTGCATAACTGGAGTAAGTTTTTACTCGATGATACACCAAAGCTTAGATCTTGATTTCATTGTTAAGTTGTTTGATGAAATTGGTTGGCAGGATTCCAACACAAACACTACTTATGGGGCGTTTTTAGAGCGAAGCAGGAATCTAGTAGCTGTCAAATGGTATCGAACAGGGTTAAATCTGTGATACTTCAAACTCCTGGGAATGTTTTGACTGCCGGAGATCATATGAACCTTGTGAAACTCAAAACTTCGCGTGCTGAGAGTCCTATTAGCACTTTAAGCAATAACGTAAGCTTTGGGTCTGGCACTTCCTGAAGCATCTGTCCTCTTCTTTTCATGTTGAGCTTCGCAAAATGAACTAGTTTCTGTACCATTTGACTGACATGAAAAAATTGAGACCTCACGAATGTGTTTGTGGGCTGTTGGTGAATAACCTGGTGGAAAAAACGACAAAGCTGGTCTAATGGTAAGAGCGCATCACATGACGTGACATGATGTGAGAGTTTAGGCACATATGACTGGCTAAGTGAATAAGGGATGAATCCAATATCCACCAGATTTCGGATCTTTGTGCTGCTGGTTCTCAGAGATTTCTCGGTTATTAACAAATAAAAACCGAGTTTTTTCTTCAGTTGAAGAACCCGATGTCCTGTGAAATGCTAACCATTTGTAATATGTCATCTGTTTAGCTGTACATGGTAGATAAAGGGTGGTTGTTTTGGAAACCGAGCTTTGCTCCCATAGTGACTCGAACAGCTTGGAGGTGAAGGTGTATATCATCTTAGAATTAAACTCCTCTTATCTATTTCGGATTATAGGGACGAGGTTTGATTATGTATAATTTATATGGATATTAGCACTTTTGGTCTCAATTATTGGCAAATTCTTATTTTGGTCATTGTTGAGATGATGACTAATGGCAATTAATCTTTCTTTTTTTGGAGAATGGTAAACTTTACTTCTATATATCCACAGGTGTACTACAACAAAGTGTAGTCCCCCATCAAAAATTCTCTTTACAAAATCCTAATAAATCTAATTACAACCAGTCAATTGCATTAAAAACATTTCCAGTGTTGTCTATAGCTACTTGCACCAAAAATAGTAAAGGCCTAAGCAGTCTATCTTGATCTTCTGTATGTTGCTCTTTTTGCCTTCAAAATGTCTTTGATTTCTCTCCTTTCATATGGTCCACTAGATACATGCGGGAACCATCTTCCATCTCTCCTCCTTTCTTCTTGCATTTTCATCATCGTTCCAACTTTTTAGCACTTCTTTAATTATCCCAGGTTTCACCCACATGATCTTCCTCTTGTGTAAAAACATCTGCAACAGTTGGTCTGTTCATTTACAATGCAAAAAGAGATAGTTGACTCTCTATTTGTTCTTCATATAGATAGCATATCTAGAGCATAGGTTATGTATCCTCTTGTTAAGGTTTTCATGAGTGAGGATTGCTTCCTTTGTCAGTAACCATGTAAAGTAGTTTACCTTATAAGGCACTTTGGTCTTCCAAATCATTCTCCATATCCATCCTATCTCTTGAGTATTTTTTCCTGTCAGATCTTTGTAAGCAGACTTGACAGTGAAAATACCTTTGCTATCCACCTTCCACACCAAGCTGTCCTTTTCTTCTGTAAGGTTGAGATTTTGAGGGACTGTATTCTGAAAATCTGCTATAAAGTTCATTTCACAGTCATTTAAATTCCTTCTTAGATGAAGATTCCAACCTTGTCCTGTCTATAGTTCAGCCACAGTAGCATATTGGGCCTGGCATAAGTTGTAAAGTTCATGAAAAGTTTGATTCAGAGGTCATTGCCCACACCATACATCCTTCCAGAAAGCCACCTTCTCTCCATTTCCAACCTTGCAACTTGTTCTTGTTGAAACTAGTTGCCATAGCTTCCTGATGGATCTCCATACATTACAATTATAAGGAGTTGTCACCTCCTGTCATCCATTTATCCTGCATGCCATATTTTGACCTGATCACTTCTTTCCATAGAGCTTCTTCTGGAGATGCAAACTTCCAAAACCACTTCATCATTAGACTCTTGTTATGTCTGTCTAGCTTCCTAATGTTTAAGCCCCATCCTTTCTTGCTTTCCAATAGCTCCTCCCATTTCACTAGATGATATTTCTTCTTGTCTTCACTTGAAGTTTCTCCTAACAACATCCAATCTATCAGTAATACTGGCTGGGATAGGAAAGAGTGACATCATATATGAAGGGATAGAGTCCATTACACTGCTTACCAAAGTGAGTCTACCACCTGTGGATATGTATTGGCTTTTTCCAGTTTGCTAATCTTTTTTCACTTCTCTCTATCACACCACTCCATATGTTCTTGGACTTGCTCTTAGCTTCTAAAGGCATTCTCAGATATGTGGTTGGGAGTTCACCCACTTTTCCCCCTAACTTTTCTGCCAGATCTTCAATGTTTGGCACTGTATTAACTGGGTATATGAAACTCTTACCCCAATTTATGTGCAAACCAGAAACTGCTTTAAAGATGTTGAAAATAACTCTGAGAATTAACATTTGTTCCCCTGTGGTACCACAAAACACTAGAGTGTCATCTGCATATTGCAAATGTGTTACATGTTATATATCTATCTTGAGAAACTGACAGAAATTATGATATAATTAATGGTGCACCCATAAAAAGCATAAAAGTGTCATTGTATTGTTGGTAGAAGTTAGAGGATCCACTTGTGAGATCCGGGTTCAAATCCAGTTAAAGTGTTTATTTCATTGTTTTTATTTTAAGTTTATCTTAGAGCTCTAGTATAAATTTTCATTGTTTTTATTTTAAGTTTATCTTAGAGCTCTAGTATAAATTTGCTTAACTGCGTAAGTTTCCCATAAAAAACTATATTTATTTAAAGCTTTATTCGATTTTTATATTTACCAAAACAGTCAATGTTGAAGTCTTTTAAGAAATTATAACTGATAATTGCAATTTTATCTAATATAAAATACATTTATCAGGGTAAGTCTTAATCTACTATATCATACTCTTATAACTTTGAAAAAATTACTGAAATACACGTCTTATGTTTCCCTTATTTCCAATATCCTCTTCTATTTCTAAAAACCTCTAAAATCCCTTATTTCTTTAATGTATCTGAGCTACATATTAATGCATTCAAGCCAGTATTTAATGTATATGAGTTACATATTATGTATCCGGTTTATTTTATAATGTATCCGAGCTAGTTTTTAATGTATCCAGTTTATGTTATAATGTATCCGAGATACTCTTTAATGTATCCGAGGTACATATTATGTATTCGGTTTGTGTTACTTTTTAAGGAATTAATGTAATTACAAACTAAAGAGGGATATATTGTAATTTCATATTGAAATTATGTGATTCCTAAAATTTACCCTATAAACTTTTGTGTCTTTGTATGACACGATTTCACTAAATTTCGCATTTCAGTTTTAAGTTTTAAAACTTATTTATTTGTAGTAATCTCACAAGTAGTTTGGTTTAGAGACAAGTTTTGCAAAGATTAGAATTATGAAAAATTGTAATTTGCGAATTAAATAATGTAATTATATAGTGTAAATGAATATTTAGTTTGATATATGTATATGTTATAATATATTTGTTTAATTTTTAACTTTTGAGTAAAGGAGGAAGGTTGCGGTAGCCGGTAAGTCGACAATCAACGTAAAATTTGTCAATTCATGATATATCTTTATAACATATAAATCGTTTGAACATGCTCACCTAGTTGATATGTGTGTTTAAATAACAAAAATGAAAATTCACTTAACTAACCTCAACTTATTTGAGACTGAATTGTAATTATTGTTATCGTTGTAATACTATTACGAACTTTAATTTTACCGTTTCAACATTTACTTAACACATATATTAGCCATAAAATAAAATAAAAATAAAAAAAGGGTTCCATTGAGCTTCTCATAGAAGTACAATAATCGCCCACTTCCTAGGACTTGTGTATAAAAATATTTCATCGAGTTTCTCATAGAAATACAAACGTATCGCCCATTTCCTACGGGCTACAATCTGACTTTTGTATAAAAATAATCAAATATACCTCTAAACTTTATGAAAAAGGTCAAATATACCCTTGAATTTTATGAAAAAGATCAAATATATCTATTGATTTTTTTTGTGACATTTTTGACCCTATACTCTTGTTAATTTAAATCCCCAAAAATTCAACATTAAGGTCCTTGCAATTGAAGTGTTCTTCAAGACATCAAAAACTCAGTCTCTCTTTCATTAGCAAAAGCATTCTGCAAAAAACTTCGATTCGTTTCTCTAAATCACTCTCCAATGTCGGTAAGTTCTTCTTCTTCTTCCTTCGTTCTATGAACTGCACAGTTTTTTTTTAACCTTTTTATGCTTAGTACAGTTGTAAAACCTAGTTCTTTTCGTAGATCGAATTTGAAATCTGATTAAATAGTGTATTTTTTTTTTCATTTTTTGGTAATTTTTATGAACAGATCTTTGAGTATAATGGAAGTGCTTTGGTTGCGATGGTTGGGAAAAACTGTTTTGCTATTGCGAGTGATAGGCGTTTTGGAGTACAGCTGCAGACAATCGCTACTGATTTCCAGAGGATTTATAAAATACATGAGAAGCTTTTTATTGGACTTTCTGGCTTGGCTACTGATACTCAAACACTGTAATTTCTAATTTTTTTTAATTCTGTTTTTATTGTTTTTTGCTAGCTAAAGATTACTACGAGCATGTAAGGGTGTGAGTTAGTAGTCAATGAAGTGGGGGTGAGAATCATGAGTTTTCAGGTTTGAATCCTAGCAGAAATAAAAAATACTAGGTCATTTCTTCCCATATGTCCTAGGTTTTGGTGGTCAGAGTTATTAGTACCTCGTGCGGGCCGGAGGTGGAAGGTATCTTTTGGAATTAGTTGAGGTGCACCCAAGCTGGTTTGGATACCACAATTATAAAAAAAAGTTAAATAGGACACAATGAAAGAAAAAGATCAATATAGGTGATATGTGCAAGTTCTAGACTTATTAGAGAACTTCTAATATTATTATTTTTATCATTATTGTATATATTTAACTTATTTGGCACTGAGGCGTAGTAGTTGTAGTTATTATTAGTACTATTTTTGCTGCCTCCCCATTGTGTTGGGTGTTGTAAGCCTTTATTTTTTTAGAAATTACCATCATTTATTAAAGGACCTATTTCTTTAATTTTGAAAGATTTATAGAGCACATTAATTAGAGAAGTATATTGGAGTAGAAATTTAATATTTTGAGTGAGTTTGGAGTTAGTGATTACTGACAAAGAGGAAGGCTTCCTGTGGGTTGGATGTGTGGGTAGTGGACAATAAAGGGTGAAATTGGTGTTTTACTTATTTATTTGCTGATGCATTCTTG